CCAGCCATGTGGCTTGGGCAGTGGCGCCGGCCCCGGTCCCATGGCACAAGGCTCTCGGGCAGCCCCAGCCCCGGCCCTGGGGCACATGCCGGCGCCGGCGCCAGGTGCAAGGGCATCCCCGTCCCCTGGCATGCCCCCGGACATGCGGCCCCGCCCCTGGGTGCCCGGCGCATGAGTGGCCCCCACCTCCCGGGCGCCCGGGAACCTCTAAAGGTTGGGGACCACTGACTTAGCCTATGTTTTGGTGTTAATCTGGTTTTTGTTTTGTTTTTTCCCAGAAACCAACTCAGTGGTACGTTTAAAGGGAAGGGTGTATTTACTTCACTTAAGTTAATAAGCTATAATGTGTTTTTGGGTCTTCAGAAGAACAAATGAACTTTATTATTTCTCTGGGGTGTCCAGGAAATACCCAGACATTACAGAGCACATGGTTTGGGGACAATCTGGGACCATAAGTGTGTTGGAGTCACATAAAGCTATAAGTTTAGGTTGCAATACGAGAGGCATAGCAGGCAAGTCACAGGAGGCGATGGTATTCCTTTACTCAGCACTGGCTAGGCCTCAGCTGCAGTATGGTGTCTAATTTTGGTGTCAATGTACAGAGAGGCTGTAAAGAAACTGGAAGGATCCAGAGGTAAGTGACAAAGATGATTCAAGGGATGGAACACAAGCCATGTGAGCAAAGGCTGAGGGAATTGTGTATGTATAAGTTTGGCAAAAAGGAAATTTGCGGGAGGGGGATAGGAGAGCAGTCTTCAGATCCTTGAAAGGCTGCTACAGAAAAAGTGGGGAACAGTTGTTCTCTTTTGCCACAGAAGGCAGGACACAAGGCCATGGGTTCAAACTACAACACAGCAGATTACATCTCAGGAAAGAATTTGCGGTGGCAAACGCTTACTGGTCTGGATTGCCCCTTAAGCCCCATCACAGGAGTGGAGAAGTCACAAATTTTAAGGCCAGATAGATTGTTAGATCATCTAGTCCAGTGGTTCCCAAACTTTTCCGCATCACACCCCCTTTTTGATTTTTGAGAAACCCTCACACACACAAAACCAGCAAAACTTGTTGAGCAAACAAACAAACAAACAAAGGGGACCTGGGGGGGTTTGCCTTGTGCTCTTCTCCCCCCCCCCCTCCAGTTTGGGAACCCATAATCTAGTCTGACCTCTTGTATATCACTCACCAGAGAATCTCACCCATCTCCTCCTGACAAAGGGAACAGCAAAACGTTTTACCTGATCTGTTTATCAGCCATTTAATGCAGACGTGATCCTGTTAAAAATCGATGTGTTCCTCCCAAATGTCCTTTAGCTTCTTTTTGTTTTCAGTCACTGCCTCTCACGTGGTTCTCCTGAGAAGGGGAGAAAGAGAGAAATACCAAGACAACAAAATTGAAAAAAGGAAACTTTAGATTCCCCCCAAAGTCCAAACTTTAGTAGGCAGGGTACACTGTGCACAAGTCCCCACCCCCGCCCTACGCAGGGGCAACCTGGTCTGCTAGGCCTTCACCAGTGCCTCCCCCACACACCCAACAACATGCTCGGACGACAGGCTGAAAGACTGCCTGCATCCATGCCCCAAATCCTAACCCTGCAGAAGTCACTGACTCCAATCCCAGAGACTCCTGTGGGCAGATCCCCCGGACATGGATTATTCAGAGAGGAAGGCATGTTGGTCAGATTTTTAAAAATAAGAGTGACACCCAAAGACAAACATTTCCCAGTGACTTTCCCTCTGCCATGCACAGAAGGAACAGTCAAGAAGCTGCAAGGCTGTGAAATCCTCACACCCACCCACCCGCCACATGGTCTCAAGCTGGCTGCCAAGAGCACCATGCTCCAGCGCCTAAAGATGACAGCCAGATGCTGAAAGTGCCCAGCAGGGCTTAAAGGGACAGCAGCCTATTTTTCAGCTGTCTGCTCTTAGGAGCAAGAGGGGAAGGGGGTGGGAGAGGAGAAGGAGGGGGAGGATCAGACTTCCACACCATCTGTCTCCCAGGGAGGAGCGTGTTCTTTATTATGCTGCTCCTACAGAGAGAGAGAGAGAGAGAGAGAGAGAGAGAGAGAGAGAGAGAGAGAGTTACCAGGAAGCTGCTAGAACCCAGCCCATGAAGGAACTTAACCCCCAAAAGGTGAAAATTTTGGCATATTCACTATTTAGATTCCTTAAATATTATTCATTTCTTGCCACCTACTCCTCCTCCCTGAAAGCAGCTGGTCCCCGGCTTCCATCTGGTAACTCCCTGCTTCTCATCTACCCATTGGCTGCTTCCCTTTCAGTTGCCTGGGCAGCAGCAACCCCTAGGCTGGGAACAAACCAATTACTCTGTCTAGACAGTGAAGTGTGCCACTAGGCCACCCATCAGGAGTCCTTTCTGTGCACACACATGTACACACACATCCTCACAGTCCGGGAAGAGACTTTATAGGCTAGCATTGCATTTTCATTGCAGGGCAAAATGAATGACTTAGTGTCTGCGACAAGCAGGAATTCACTGGACCTGCATGGAGCCAGCTACAATGCAGACAGGTGCTGCCTACTATTCCACTCAGACACAGCTCTGCTAGCGCACCTCAGGCTTGAACTCCCTCCTGATACTCCAGCTGAGGGTCTCTGTCAGGCAGAGACTTTTAGCTTCAAGGACAGGGACAGACTTAGTAGGATTAGCTTCCCAGCCATCCACCCACCTCAATGAAGCTGAGTCTTCAAATCCATTTGCAGTGGAGATCATTTGGAGCTGTAACAGGCTAGTGTACTAACCCACTGGGGAATGGAGTTCTTTCTAGTATACTCAGGTCTCACCTCATTCACCAGCATCTCTTCTGAGGATCCTTTTCAGCCAACCAAATTAGCGAAGGACAGGGGAGAATGCACTAAAAATCCCGATAAACTAAGGCTTTGACTATAATTAAAACACTAAAAGCTTTATGTGAATAGTTGCAACTGCCTAGTGGACACCCTCCAGTTTAAGTGCATCTTATTTTCATTTAGTTTCAACTGATTCTCAGTCACTTTAAGCTAAACAGACATAAGCCACTCTAAAAACTAAACATAAGAGCGTATACACATCTAGGCATTGGCACTGGCTTAGTTTCACACCTTGTGTTCAACCGGCACAACTCCATGTAAGCAAACCTTAAATCATGAAAACTCACTAGTAACAACTACAGTAAATAGGGTGTTCCCTTTCACGGATACAGGAAGTCTGGCCAATTCCACACACAGTTCTCATACACTGTCATCACAGAAGCATTAGGTACAGAAGATACTTTTCAGAAATGGGTTTTTGCCGAAATAAATGGTCCTGCTGCTGCTGAGTACTAGTCAGCTGTTTCTCTCCACCCCAGAGGCAGCTGCATTTCATGTATAATAATAATAAAAAAAACAAACAAACCCAAAAACCTATTATGTTAAGTATTTAGGTTTTGACTGATCAAGAGGGAAAATGGATGCTTGGGAGATTGCTCTGTTCTGGGAGATCAAGAACAAGAACTAAGATGGTTTTATAGCTAAGGCACTAGACTAGGAAACAGAAAACCTGAGTTCAGCTCCCAGCTGTGCTATAGGATGTTTGTGTGTGATTTAGGGCAAGTTACTTAACCTCCATTCCTCATCTGTGAAATGAGAGATGTTATTTCCTGCTCCTCCCCACCCTAACCGGAGATGGTCAGCCTTTCAAAGCAGGTTTGGTCTCTTTATGTGCATGTCCAGCACTTAGCACAGTGGAGCCCTGCACCTCCAGAACTACCAGAGCCAACTGAGGAGTTACAGAAGAGCAAACACACCTGGAGATGTTGAGCATTAAGCTCTGACAGAAGGCTGGCTTCTCCCAGCAGTGTTTGGTAAGAGGTACAGCTGATGCCAATGTGCAAAGCCATCCCAACTGCCAATATAAATTCCACGAATGCACTTTGCTATATTCTCCAGGATCCGGTAATTCATTTTAAGGTATGAAATGAAGTTCCTTGTCTCCTGGCTGGGGAGATCTGAGTGCTGGGCCAGATTCCAGTTCCTGTGACAGCAGGATGCTAACTAGCTCCTGGGAGGAATGGGGAGTTCAGGCTAGGAGAAGGTGCCACTGGGAGAGGAGATCAGCCCAGGGAAATGCCCAGAAGGTTAAACACGCAACAGGGAAACAGAGGAGTAAAACAGAGAACTAAGATAAAACTGTCTGAAGTGCAGGACTCTTCCTAACCAACAATGCCAAAGCCAATCAAACGAAGCTACTGGAGCAGTGAGAGTACATGTCAAGGATCCAAACTGCTGGATTCGGAGTCAGGATTCATCTACACTGGAATCGTTACAGAGTCACTGTAGTGCAGACACTGATGACAGGACAAGTTCTACTGTTGGCAAAGAGAATCCTTCTCCCCAAGAGGCAAAAGCTATATCAACAGAAGAATTCTTCTGGGTAACCCTATGGGTGTACATGGGGATGTAAGTCAGCTTCATTATGTTGCTCAGGGGTATGGATTTTTCACACCTGAGCAAAGTAGCTGGATCAATCCAACTTTCTGGTACCAATCAGCCCTAAATCCCTGCCCTGCAGCTGAACTGCGTCTGCAGCAAAACGGACAGTGCTAAGGAAGGTGCAAATGTCACCCTGGAAACTCCTCCATAGCCACTCCAAAATGTGACAGGCCTGTTGTGTGAGCCACACCAATGTGGAGACTGCTTTCCTGCAGTTTAGGTAACAAAGGGATTCTGCTCCCAGCAGTGCTATAGGTTGTGTTTGTGTGATTTAGGGCAAGTTACTTAACCTCCATTCCTCATCTGTGGCTGCGAGCAGGGATAGGAAATGAGGAACATCCCAGAACCCCTGAACCTGTAATAGAGACCATCTTTCTTGCCCCTCAAATGCGAGGGAGGAGTGTGTCATTCAGCAAACAGAGGTATTTTCTACAAGGTACTTCCCTTAAGCATGACTAGCTGACCAGCCCTAAATATAGCGGCAGTTCCTAGTTTTACAAGCCATGCCTTATTAAGTAGGAAGAACCGTATAGGGGATGAATTATGGGGTATTAATTTTCGCCTAGCGTGTTGTTAATGCAGCCAGGCATGGATTAGTGCCCCATTATTCACACACTGGGATCTCCCTTTTATGTTTATTAGAGCAACTGAGCAGATTAGTTTTAACATGACACACACATCCATCATCGTTGGAGGAAGTGCCGAAGTTCTAGTGCCATGGGACACCATAAATTAACACTTATTAATGAAATATATATATATATATATATATATATATATACACACACACACACACACACACACACACACACACACACACAGCATTGCAGCCAGTACTGCAGATTACAGATAATCACTCCGTTTCATCTGCTTACTTGATAAATACCTGTACACGGTTATTGCTATCATCCATAGTAGCTATACTGACCCAGTGCTAGTCTGCATCCGTGGTTTTCAATCTTTGCCAAACCAGAACCACCTCAGGACAGCAGCTTCATCTCACCAAGCTGCCTCTCCAGCCAGCCAGCCCCACACCTCCTTAGCACTCTGGAAATGGCAAGTGGTCAGTCACGAGGCTCAGATGCTAGGACCCGAGCAATTCTGGAGTGCTGGGGTCCCTAGCAAATGCTTCTGCAACTGTAAACTCATCCCATTCCCACAACTTCCCTACAACTCAGCCGCTCTGATTTGTTAACCACGGATGCAGCTGTCCCAGGTCAAACTCCTAACATACAAACCCGAGTACACTGCACTGTGACAAGTCAGAGGGCACTGGTGTCAATCACAGCTACAGAAGGGATCTGCCGTGGTAAAGCTGCATGTCAGGCTCAAGCCCTAGTGTAGAATATGATCCTTGTCGAAACTATCCCTTCCCACACCTTCTCTCTGCTGTCATTCCCACTAATTCCAGCCAGGCCTGGGAGGGAAGCCATAGCTGCCCAGTGCCTTGTTCTCCATTGAGGAAAGGCCCAGCTGCTTAATGCCAAGAATTAAACTGACCCAAGCTAAGGGGAGCCCCAGGGGACTAGAGTAACCCGTGCTGGCTGAGATCGCCGCTCTGCATTACAGCTACAAATGGCTCCCTTTGCCTTTCTGAGGGGGAGAGGGACCAAACCAATTTTAAAAAGACACTCCAACTTCCCTCCACTGTCTCCCCTGTCCAGACCCTCTTTAGAACAGGGCCTCAGCTTTACCCTGCCCTTCCAATGCCTACCTCACCAAAAGGGAATCACCACGCCTAAGCTACCTCAGACAGCTCCTCATCACAAATCCAGTCAGCTTCCAAAGCCACTGTGGCCCTCCATGCACAGAAGTTAATATTTTCTTCTGATTCCATCGCTCTCCCTTCATATGTACACACACATGCACATACTTACTTGGATCTCTGATCTACTGCCCACGACAGTTCTCCTGGCCTCAGATTTTTCCCTGTTCTGTGAGCAAACAGTTTTCTTCAGGGACTGCAGCCTTAGTATCTCCGACCCTTTGGTGCAAGCATATCCCTGTGCACCTGACTGGTTATTAACCTTTGCTTCCCTTCACTTTATCACGTGAAGAAGGAAAGTGCTTTATCACTGAATCACAGTCCACTCCGTGTGTGCATATGTAAGCGCAAATGCTCTTTGTGCAAACAGACCACTGCATGGAGAGAGCGGAGGGGGTGAGAGGGGGAGGGAGATCAGGAATGGCTGGGATTTGCAAGACCCTCAAGCACTTCTGATGACCTTACTAGGTCATGAGATCTTTGACGCTTGTGTAGTGTGTCCCCTGTTCAAAGCAAACTGTAGCTGACTGATCCTCACTGAAGCCCTCAAAGACACTTTAATAAGTATCGCTGTCCCCTTGGACAAAATGAGGAGGCAGGCATGTGACATTATCGGATTAAAATATAACCATGTAGATAACTGTTGCTACTGGGATACAATTGCAACAAATCTTAAAGTGTCTCAAGTAGGGTGTCAATAGGAAAAAAAAGTTATGATTTGCTGAATAGAATTATGCTATTGTATGCATGTGTCATTTTTGTATCTGAAGTTATGTCTTAGCTCAGTACCTGTATTTCAAATATGCTGGCTCTTGTGGTATCTTCCACAAGGTATTTAGCCTGCACAGTTCAAGGTAAGTGGCCCATCATAAAAGACACTTACCTCATCACAGAAGACACCCATGTACACTGAACAGAGTGACTAAGTGAAATCAGACAGACATAGGACTTTCTCATGTGACGCCATGCTCCATCTTTATAAAGTTTTGCACTAGCTATGCTTTGTTTGAAACAATGGATTGCCCTCCACATGGTAGAAGCTATAAAAAGGTGGTGGAAATATCTCCATTTTGCCTTGGTCTTGCTCCAGCCTCCAGACGAACACTAAAGGGAGCATTCGAACTAAAAACCTTCTGATGATTTGGAAGCAACCAGAAACTTGACTGCTACAAGCTTGTAGCAGTTTACTCCATCACTGCTACACGCCTTGAACCAAGAGTTAAAACTGACTTAAGGAATAAAAATACATATCACAATTGCCTCTTTTTTATAAATAAAACTTTAGATTTTAGATACAAGGATTGGTAGCAGCTGGGTTATTGGGTAAGAGCTGAGTGATATATTGCCCTGGGTGTGTGGCTTATCCTTTAGGATCAGAAGAACCCTTTGTTTGAGGAAGCTGGTTTTAAATAACCACTCATTAAAGTTCAGTGATTTTGATGGTGATACAAGGACTGGAATGCCAAAATAAACTATTTCTCTGACTTCAAGCCAGTGTTGCTTTGGTCAGAGACAGGCCTTCAGTCTCCAGGGCCACTAGGCCAGCATGTCAAACAAGCACTAAATCAGACACATTCACCCTCCCACAAACACGCGTATGTACACACCTCTAATGCCATTTATCCCAACACTGTTGGCCAAGGTACTGATTTAATTCACAAAATTCCTGGGGGCTGGAGGCATTTGACTCTCCACTGGATGCTTCTCAATCCACCCTAAGCCTTAGAAAGCAGTTATCATAGAAGACTTCTATTGTAAGTAGTCAGGATGTGAGATCCAATTTAATTAGATAACCGGTTAAACATTAAGTTTAACCAGTTCACTGATTAAATCGGGGAGGGGGAGGGAGGAGGCACAGGCAGAGGCTGCTCTAGCCCAGTTGCTTCTGGTCCCATGCTGGACTGCTGAGGCTTACCCAATAACCAATTAATCAGTTATTCATTCACATCCCTATCCAGCACTGTATCCATTTGTGTATTTTACTTACCAAAACTCTTGTTTCCAACAACAGTGAGCCCACGGACACCCTGTCAAGCTTCACTCACTACAGTAGTAAGCAACACACACAGTTGCTGCCATGACATTTTAGGCTTGTAAATGAACTGAAAAAGTTTCCAGAGAGAAACCTTCTAGCCTCCTGCCATATCATAGACCACTGTATATTGATGCTGAGAAGTCTCCCCTGGGTGAATCAGGCACTGCTCTCTCAGGATACAGGCGGTCCCCGGGTTACGTACAAGATAGGGACTGTAGGTTTGTTCTTAAGTTGAATTTGTACGTAAGTCGGAACTGGCGTCCAGATTCAGCCACTGCTGAAACTGACCAGCGGCTGACTACAGGAAGCCCGAGGCAGAGTTTCTCTGCCCCGGGCTTCCTGGAATCAGCCACTGATCAGTTTCAACAGCGGCTGAATCTGGACGCCTGGGACAGAGCAGCTGGGGCGCTGCAGGGTAGGTCCCCGTAGTGCCACACCCCAGCTGCTCTACCCCAGGTGTCCCCAAGTCAGCTGCTGCTGAAACTGATCAGCAGCTGATTCCAGGAAGCCCGGGACAGAGTTGCTCTGTCCCGGGCTTCCTGGAATCAGCTGCTGATCAGTTTCAGCAGCGGCTGACTTGGGGACGCCAGGGGCAGAGCAGCTGGGGTGCTGCCGGATTGGTCCAGTAGTGCCGAGGAGCGGCGCTGTGGGACCAACCTGGCAGCGCCCCAGCTGCTCTACCACAGGCGTCAGCGAGAAAAGCCTGGTTTTCTGGGGGGAGGGCACTAGCTGTGGGCCCCACCCCCCGAGAAGACCAGGGAGACGTGGGCAGTGGGACCACCAAGACACGCAGCGGTCCCGCCGCCCGCATTCTCTGCGGCTTTGCTCCGTGTCTCCCTGGTCTGCTGGGCCCCCCCAACCAGACCAGGGAGACGCGGAGCGGCTTTTCTCTCCTCGGAGGACGTGGGCAGCGGGACTGCGGCGCGTCTGGGCAGTCCCGCTGCCCGCGTCCTCCGGGGCGAGAAAAGCCCCGTTCGTAAGTATGGATCCGACATAAGTCGGATCCGCGTAACCCGGGGACTGCCTGTACTTGAAAAAGAAAAGAAATGAAATGACCTCAAATTTCCTTCCTGCGCTCCATCTGACTTTCAGACTGGAGGTTCTTTGGAGCAGGGAGTGTGAGGAGTTGCATACAGCACTGGGCATCTCACAGGTGCTTAAATGCCCAAGCCCCCATAATCACTTGACACTGTTGTCCCCTTGCATGCCAGAGCCACCCCAAACAGGGTATTTATAAAATACTGCCACAGTTGCACCTCTGAATTTATCCCCTCTCATCACAAGCACAAAGTCTCTGGGGCTGGGCATCGCTGCACAGACTGTGCCTTTAAGAAGCAGAGAACAAATCTCCCCCCCCCCCTTTTACTCCCCGCTTTGCTCTTGGGTAGAGCCAGACCAAAGTCCCTGAAGGTAGACGCAAGTGGGAGGGCATCAGGCCAAGCAGCTTTCTGATTGGCTGCTGGGAAGGGGGGGCAGCCCAGCCACTAGAAGGCCTCTGCCCAACCAAACGGCAGGGATGCTGCTTAGTCACAGTCCACACCACAGGCTCCCTAGCCCTGCAAGGGCGGCAGCATTCCTGTCATACCCTGCCCTCAAACCAGGCCTGCAGCCTCCAGGCAGCTTAGCTCATCCCCTTTGCAAGGTATAAAAGGGGTGATCTTGGGCTGTCTACCTGGGCGGGCAGAGGAGGAGGGGCTGTGAGGAAAGGCTGCCCTATAGTCTCAAGCCACAAATGGCCTCAGAGCAGTTTTGCAAAATCTCCAGCAAATCTTCAGGTCACACTTTGCCCAGGTCTCACTTTGCTCCCCCCAAGCTCTCCAACCATTGTTAGCTCTGTGATCCTCAGCCTTCCCCAGGCCACGACCCCATGATACTATCGAAATGCCTCAGGGGACCCACCCACCAAGTATGGTCACATGCTCCAGTAGTGGAGAGAGGGTCACAACCCCCAGGCTGAGAACCTGTGGGTTATAAAGGCACCCACCTCTGCAGTCTCAGATGTCTGAGCACTTAAAGCTAGTGGCTAGAGCACAGGATTGGCAGCTGGAACAGCTGAATTCTAATTCTAGCACTGCCACTGACTCACTGTGACTCCTGAGCAAGTCCCTTCATCTCCCTACTCTGGGTTTTAAAGACTGAGCTGCAATTCACTGAGCAGCCTCAAACAAAAACCCCTCCACACACACACACACACCCACCCCACCCCCATTAAGGTGCCTCAAGCTGGGCCCTCAAAAACTGAGGCACCTCAAAAAATCAGTCACTTTTAAAAATCCTAGTTTCTGTGCCTCCATTTCCCTAGCTGTAAAATGGGAATAAGAGTGCTTTCCCTCATAGGGGTGCTGGGAGATTTAATTCACAGACATTTATAATGCATCGAGACCCCGGATGAAATGTGCTATGAGGGTAATGAAGACAGAATCATTTCTCCTGGAAGTGGTACTCTGTTAATAAACTAAGGATTTCATCTGCCGTCCTTTATTCTGCCCAGAACACTGTAGGCAGCTGTCAGAAGACCTAGTGAGGGTAAAAGGGCTGTGATAGTGGCTAGCATCAGGAACATTCTTCCTTCTTCTGCATGTCCCAAGGATCCAATGGCTGGAAAAATGCCTCCATAGCCCATTCAATGGATGTGCTGCAAATTCTCCCACAATTCCAACCCCTTACCTCAGGAGTTACAGCTCTTTCAAGCACTGACATTTCTGCAGCAAGCACAGGAAACAGATTCCCATGACAACTTCTGCTGCTTGCATTATTTGTACTGCAAATGTCCCCTCTGTGGAAGGCTCTCTATAAAAAGGACCCCCAAAATGTCAGAGAGCTTACAATCCAACTACGCTCTGCAGTGAAGGAGGGAGATTGGGCTGACCTGAAGTAAGACCCTGATTGCTAACAGTTGCTTTGCCCCCTCTGCAAGGTAGAAAACTAGATCTGCTGTCAACTCAAGCTGCCAATCACATCGACAGACTCTCAGACTGAAGGATAGAAAGGCCTGAACAGCAGGTCTAACCCAACCGGAAATGAACGCCAGCTATGCCTGAGAACCTTGTCTGCACTGGGAAATTGCAATTGTCCAACCAATTAATCAGAAGGCAGAAATTAGTGTGCATGCATTCACACCAGGGTATAATTAGTACAATAAACCCTCGCCATTCGTGGTGGATGCATTCCTAGTACCACCGTGAATGACTAAATCTGTTAACACTGGGGGGCAGTGGCTCCCTGCCCCATCAGTGAGTGCAGGGGGCCCTGAACCCTGTTGCCATCCAACAACAGGCCTCCCCTCCCCACCCCCCCACAAACCAGGG